ATTCCCATGCTCACCAACCGAGCCACGTACGCACAGAAAATTGTTGAACACAGCGACGTCTTCACTCCGGTTCTCGTTCGACCTACAAACGTCTACGGACGTGCCTCTAGCTACTACCAAGCCTTCTTCAATGTTGCTTCCAAGGCCGCCGCTGAGGGGAAGCCGCTCATCTTGACCGCTCCGCCCAGCACAATCTTGCATGCTCTTCATGTCGACGACTGCGGAGACGCCTATGTTGCCATCGCCTCTCACTCAAACGTAGCCGAGGTTGACGGCCAAGCATTCAACATCTCGGCCCAGAGCTACGAGACACTTGACAAGGTTGCGCAAGCACTGGTTAAGGAGTACCAAATTAAGGATGGAATCAAATACATTGATGAGGCGGATGCGAAAGAAGGGGAGATGTGGCCGCCAGGGATCATCAACTTTCCCCAGTGGACAGACTCCACAAAGTTGACTAAGCTGACTGGGTGGAAGCATCGTCGTCCCTTATTCACCGAGTCTATCCACGTCTATCGACTGGCATATGAGGCTACCAAGGCGGCCGGGCACGAGAATATCAAGAAGGTTGATGGCCTGTTAGAGGCGTGGACTAAGACCAAGACAGGACTGAACTTGAATCCAGAGAAGATGGCCTAAGGAGGGAATGCAAACTCAAGAATGTCCTCACATTGTCTTTTTAGGCCGCAAAGATAAATATCCACTTCTTGGGCTAAGTTCATAGTCGCGAGTTGATGAATCTTAACCTCCATCAGAGCCATTAGACATCCGACTCGAAACCTCTTATTCGACTTTTCATAGTCCTGTCCCAAACTTAGAGAAAGTTCTATCAGGCGTGAATCTTGATCAGTCGACACGTGCCTCATCTTGTTTAAATAGGAATGCGAGGTGCTATCTTAGTGGAGGACGTTGGGCCGATGTACGAAGGACCACACACGGTGAATCTCTTAGCTATTTGATGATCATGGTTTCTACGAACCCCGGCTCAGAATGACTTCCAGATTCACTCAATCAGTGCTCAGGACCCGCTATTACCAAGCATAAATCAATATTCTCACCAAGTTCGCTCGTCATGAGTGAGTGAAAGATCAGTGCACTCATATCAAAGATTGTAATAGCTCCGAATCAACCTCCATCAGTCACGGTCTGTCGTTGACTTATGGGTGTAGCTTGTTGCCACTGGAGCTTGTATGTTTCATAGTCTCTGCTCGCAAGTCTATTCTCTGGGCTCGGGTGATAAAGCAGTCTAAGATATTCCAAGCAAATGAGACATCAGAAATTCTTCTCCCTCACATACTCGGGTACATAGGTAGGCATTGAAGTTATGCTGGGCGGCATTCCCCACGTTTGTTCTCACTTGAGGACGGATGCTCATGTTCCCGGGGATTTGCCTCCACTCTCTTTCTGTATTGTCAAAGAATCAGAAGATTTTCGTCGCACAAACCCGCGAGTTGAGATGAAATAAGATGCGGCATAGCTGAATATGTATGTCTGAAGGAAAGCGCAAAAATGTGAACTCAACGTCGCAGTTCGACTGAATGCAGAACAGGCTCCACCCCCACCGTCCGGACATGCGACACCCTCTGCTTCGTGTGCCAAGCATTTCTTCGTCTTGTATGCGACTCTCGTAAAGCCCCAACCACGATTCTCGCCTGGAGGGCGCGGCATGCGTACCTCATTACATCCCAGCAATGATGTATGCGTGGATTAGCAATCCCAGATTGAAAGACTCACAAAGCATCACCACCGTGAATAGCTGTTGGCAACATGGCATGAGGCAATATAACTTCAATCGACTTTTAAAGATCGTTGATCCTGCCGGAGGAAAGAACAGCATAATTGCGATAATTCACATAATTCCTACACTTAAGTTCGGAGATTGGACACAGCAACTATGAGAACTGCTGTTAGCGTTGTTTCGATAGACTGCCTATTATTCTTAGTTGCCTCATCTCCTTCTGTTGACAGTTCCGTTGATGTGGTCGTCTATGAAGACATGGAAGCTGTGTGTTTTTTGGCAGATGACGCCGACGGGCCTGTGGGCTCACGTTGAAGATCGGATCGTACCGGAATCAGAATGCCTGATCCAAGCTAAGGCGGAGTCGGGCAGCTTACAAACCACGTGTCTCATGAAGTCGCGACTCGTCACTGGCTCACATCACCCTTCCCCGTTGGCCAGGCTGTTGCAGACAATGCTCATACGCTAGGGCTGAGGTCCGGACACTCTGCGAAAAAGTCACGGTGCCCAGGGGTCTCCTCGTCAGCGAAAAGCATGGACATTGAAGTCGAGGAAACAAAGGCCGAGCGACGAAAATCCGAGTCTCAAGTTGCTCAACTAAGTCCGACAGGTCCAAGTTGACTTGGCAAATCAGGGCAGGTGGGGCTGTTGCGATCGCGCAAGAGTTCTCAAAGGTGAGATGGCAGCTCTGAAGTGTTCGTACACTCGTATTTGAGTCATCAGCGCAAAGCCTCTCTTGGCTATGGACAAGCCGTCGCACCTCAGAGGTGAGGACGTAATCTCGACGCGGCCTCGTGGCTGTGACAGGCTACAGCACCGAGCGTGCGAAAGAGCACAAGAAACTGATACGGCTTCAGCGTCGATCGTTCAAAGTGATCTACTCGGGGTCCCGTCGATGTTTTCAACTTTCGATAAGGGAGCCCGCGGGCATTTCAATACGGCCGAAGCGCGCGCGTTCTTCGGAATAACGCCGAGCAAAAGGTTCTTCGTCTCATCTTGTCTTCGTTTCGTCCGGCGTCGTGGCCTGACTAAGCGGGACAGTGAGGCCTTTTGGCGCCCTGCCGACGCTTACTGCCGAACCATTGACCTGTCCCGGACGGTGAAGGATGGCAAAGGCCTGTCACTTACAGACTGACAAGCCATGACAAGCCGTCGCAAAGTCCAATAGTGGAGTAGACAACCTCGAGAACTCTTGGGGTGTCCGTCACAGAAAAGTCCGAAGGGAGCGTAGAAAAGAACTTGTCAACGGTGAATGGGGTGACCTGAAGGCGAGATGAAACCTGGAAAGCTACCGAATGGCGCCCCCTACCGGCTCCATGCGCCCACTCCGGCCCCACTGACATCTCAACTCGGAAACACAGACTTACGCCATCCCATGATCCTCGGTGGGGAGAACAGACGGCGACGATCCAATCGACATGATCTCCCGCTAGATCGTCACCCTCCCTGTGAGGCTCTGACTTCCCAAAGAGGTATCGTCTTATAGAGCCTCAAACCATCACGGAACATCATCAGACAGCTTGGCAGCACGAGCTTTCAACGATGTCCAGCATCGCCAGTTGGAAAAAAAAGTCTGGTTGCGCAGGTCAACGTCTTGGAGTGTCTTGAACCTTCGCATTCTACCCCCCACCTCCACTATCTCTCGGCACTTCATCATCATTAGTAAAGCCCCCTAAAGCCCCGGACAAGAGCTTCTCGTGTCTTGGCTCCGCGGGTGTTCCGATGGCAAATATGTACTACAGCCGGTGCTAATCTAATTCAAAATTTAGACTTACTCGAACTCTAAGTTCTGTCTCCATTTCCATTCCTTTCTCTTTCCTTCAGGTTTCCTTCAGTCAAAATTCCTCCTAGTGAGGTCTGGCCGTGATTTCTGTCGAGACCGGCATTTCCAGTCATTTACGCATTTTAATCAGTAGGGGAAAGTCACTGCTGAGCAGTGTTCGCTTCATTCATTTCAAGAATTTCACTTTCAATACTTCTCTCTCACCACCCAGTATGAGAGTCTCTTCGGCTTGGGCCCTTGTGGTAGCCGCCACGGTCACTGCCATGCCTCAACCAGTCTCCAAGAGAGACCCTTTCCCGGCTGACGGTACTGTTGTGGGAGGTGTTCCCCATCGCCCATTCAGAAGTGAGTCTTCTACCCTTCAAATTTTCCTTTTCGCGTTCTAATGACGGAATCACAGTCCGAAGACAAGCCGCCGCACCAGCGACCCCTCAAGGCAATCAACTCATCCCGGTGGTGGTTGGGGGAGCGCAGGATACATTCGTCCCGAACTTGATCATGGCTCAGGTCGGCGACGTCGTTCAGTTTCAGTTCAGCAATGGCAACCACACCGTGACGCAAAGTGCCGAAGGAGCCGCATGCCAACCTCTTCAAGCTCAGGTTCCGACCGCTATCCACAGCGGTCATGTGCCCTTCAAGGACGGACAGGCTATGGTTGGAACGTTCAACATGCCGATTACGAGTGCTGATCCAATGTTCCTATACTGCGCTACCGGACCTCATTGTCAAGAGGGACAGGTCCTGGTCATCAACCCGTACGTTGCAGAGACAAATTGAATATGTGAGATTCTGCTGACATCAGTGAACAGCACCAATGCGAACCAAGTCGTCCAGTACTCGAAGTTAGCTGCTGCCGCGAAAGCAAACGTCGACGGAACCACAGTGAGTGGCGGTGCCGTTGGACAGATTCCCCTCGCAAATGCCGCCTTTGTTCCAGCCCCGGCCCAGGGAGCTGGCGGTGGTGGACCTCCGGGAGGCGGTGCTGGCGGTGCTCCCGCTGCAGCTCCGGCGGCTCCAGCTGCACCGGCTGCACCGGCAGCGACACCCGCGACACAGGCAAACCCGGCTCAGGATCCTGCGGCAGCACCTCCAGCCGAAGCGCCCGCTGCTCCTCCGGCAGAAGCTCCAGCAGCTCCCCCGGCTTGAAAAGTGTGTGATTTGCGACCAAACTCAGGAAGTTTGGGCCCCGCGATAAGCAATCTTCACTAGGTTGAGCAAGCGTAGAGAACTTTGAGCTACGCGCTCGGAAGAAATAGTGCGGGTGTGCAGAAGTCGTGTTTTGTCAATGGAGGGAGGATTAATCCATGTGTATGTAATAACAGTCTTGTACATGCTATTGCCGTCCACGGCGGAGGTTTTGACGTTGATCGTCGTTGGTTCACGAACGTACCACGGCAAACTCAGGATGGGCGTTGTGTTCTGGGGCTAAGAAAACCAAATACCATACACGAATCAACGAAGCTCGATGCTTGATGCATATCGTTATTTTGGAAGTCGCTTTATGGTTAACTAGTTGATTACCATGACATTCATTATTCCCCATTTCCCTTCCTAGCCAAGTATCCAACAAAACAGTCCATCGCCAGAACCTTATACCCCAACCGGCCCTACAATTTGTACTCATGGCTCTACGACAACCTTTAGTCCACTGACCCCCTTGAACAGCACATCCACGGCCTTGTTCAGGCCATTCAATCCGCCATCAATCTTCTGAGATGGCAAGCCGACAACCTTGTTTGCAGCGATGGCCTGAGCGAGATATGTCTCAAAGGACCACTTCAATAGACCGGCGTTTTTCTCTTCTGCAAGTGGTGCCGACCAAGACCCGAAACTGACAGTGACTTCCTTGGGAACACTCTCTGGATCAGTGGGAGGTAACAACGCATACACCTTTCCTCCGCCCTGAGCAGCCAGAACTGCGGTGGTGATAGCAAATGTCGGTTTCAGTGAGATGGAGTCCACGACATATTCGTAAGGTCCCTGAGCAACGAGCTCTTTGATAACAGCGTCTTGTGATTGAGTGTGGTCGACGACGTGAACGGCACCCAACTTGGCTACAAAGTCCTTGTGCTGTGGGGATGTGGTGGTGACAGCATCGTATCCAGACTGAGACACATATTGTGTCGCAAAGCTGCCGAAGCTAGATGTGCCGCCGTAAACCAGAATCCTCTTGCCCTTGGAGGGCAGCTTCTTAGCCGGATCGGGCCTGTCAAGGCCTAAGTGCTCGTTGAACAAGCCAACGATGGTACTGAAGTTGCCTAGCAGACCAACGGGGGTGTGAAGGTCGACACTGCTTGGAACCTTGATCGCAGTGACATCTCGCGACACTACTTGCTTTTGGAAGGCGCTGTACTTGTTACCGTTTGCACCACCCGTCTTGACGGCAGCTACTTTGTCGCCGACCTTAAAGCCGGTGACTTCGGAGCCGACAGCCGCTACGGTACCTCCATAAGATGAGCCGTGGATGGCGGGGTATGGAATGGGGAAGATGGCGAGCTTTGCGATTTTGGCGTCAATGGGGTTAAGGGCGACTAGCTCGTTCTTAATGAGGATCTCGTTGGGCCCAGGCTGCTCAGTGGTCACATCTTGCACTGTGAGCGGGGCTTTGGGTTCGAGTTGGACCGCGGCGGGGTGTGACATCGTGAAAATGGGACGATTGTGGATGCTCGTGATGTTGGAGGTATGACCAATAGCAGTGCTGTGAGTTGCAGGAGCTAATTGATTTAATACGGTAGTTTGTGAGTACTGGTAGTAAGATCTGATATGTTAATGAGATTGCTCTGCTCTGACTTGGCGAGATGTATGATGGTCTTAAGTATCTCTGCTTCGACTCGGCTTTAGACCCTCGGGGAGATTGATCGTGCACCTAAACGCTATTATTCCGAGCGATTGCTAAGCGCACACCGCAGTCGAACGCAATTGAAGGCGCCATCTGCGACATTATTCACGATGAATCTTGATTGCTAAGCTTGAAAGGGTAAATCCCCACCACCGGGACACCCGGAGGTGGCGTAGCCTTCGGTGTCACCAAAGCGGAAACAAATACCGAGTGTAGATTTAAATGCCGCCTACCTACTTACCAACTTATATGCACAATGAAGAGATGGATTACGTGCTGCAGTAACATTTCATGTTTGTCACACATCATTGAGTGCCTGTTGGCGCGCGCATAGACCCCGCATTGTGTGACAGCTTTGGGCTCTCATTTCGCACAAGACTGAGTTTGTCCTTACAGTGTAAGCTCTACTCGAATGCACCATAAACCACTCGTTCGACGAATGCCGTTGAAAAGATAGCGAACACTTCGGCCAAAATCACATCATCCGTAACTCAGGTTTCTAAGTGCGACATCATGAGATTGGTCTGAAAGTCGGACTGCGAGGCCAAACTTTATTCAAATCGCATATGACCCATTTGGTGATATGAACCAAGAGTCCTCCTACTCAAACGTGACTAATATCAATAGTTGCGTGAGCGGATTGCTTGCTTGGAAGCTTTGGAACGTTTCCGATAGAACATAAGGTCGAACAAGTCAGGATTAGACAAGATGAATGATTGGGATAAAGATGACTATTGAACGCGTATACTATTGTGACTTGTGATTTCCACGTCCAAATTGGTAGAGACAGTTGATACTTGAGCCGAACATAAAGCGACGCGTGAGTCATAGCATGGAGCTCTGATGATTTGTATCTGCAAGTCTTCAAAGTGCGTAGCTGACGCGGCTAGCAGGATTATATATCGTTGTCTCGTAAAAAGTCCTCGAGAGGCGTGGCTCGAACATCCAACTTGTGGTTGTCGACTTTCGCCATATCCCATGTGCCGTTGTTCGTAAAGAATTGGTAAAAGTACGACATATACTGGAAAAATTGTCTCGGTGTAGCGGCCTTTCGAGCCTCAAATGCAAGAGCTTCAAGGTCTTCGTCCGTCCCCCTGATTTTGAAGCTGACCTCTGTTCCTTTCACCCTTTCGTAAGCTGCTGCAAGCTCCCTGACTGAATGTATACCGGAGACTGTGTTCCAGCATCCGCCCTCCTCGGCATCGTCTCTGGAGATAATCGCAGCGGTGAACTCGGCTGCGTCCCTTTCCGTGGTCCATGGCATTGGCTTATTTCCATCGCCCCAGAAGCTCATAGACTTGTCTCTACCGTCCCAGTAGCCGTTGAGCTCAACAGCCCCATAAGGGTGATCAGGAAACACCCAAAACACCTCAGCCAAGACGCCTGTGAAGATGTATATCGGCCTGATAGGCGAGCTGATCTCAGCAATCCGACGGAAGGCTATGAAAGGATCATAGCTCTCATGCATGCCTAAGGGATCTCGACTCCAATCATTGTTCCATGTGGAGAGGACAAATCGGCGGATGTTGGCGCGCTCAGCCGCCCGGAGCAGGAGAAGCTGCCCATCGAATTGTAGCTCAGTCGGGAACACTCCATATGCACAGATGACTGCGTCAGCTCCTTTGCAACCGTGATCGAGGGCCTCAATGTCATAGTGACTCTTGGTAACGACGAAGCTCTCCAACTTGGCGCGTCTGGCATCTGCGAGTTTCGCAGGGTTTCGACCCAAACCGCGAACTTGATGCCCTCGAGCGTGTAGGGCGTCGACCAGCCTTTGGCCGATGTTGCCAGTTACGCCGGCGACGAGAACAAGCATTTCCACAATAAATTCAATAAATTTGATTTTCTTAGAAAGTTTACAACGCTGTTATCCAATGGTTTAGAGTTGTACTCCGTGACCGTTGACTCAGTGACCGTTGATGGACAGGATTTGGTTTGACGACTCCATCAACAATGATGGGGGGTTTCTAGTAGACCAGTCTTCCGCATCAGTGCGGGGTTTTACTGATAACCCGAGCTCATATCTGTTTGCATGCAACTTTGAAAGGACGTCGCTACCATTGCATGAAAAGATGGAGAATACAGGGTCCTTTGCGTCACTCCAGCATCGTGTTGGTGTTGGAGACTGGAGGTTTGCATCACCCCCATGTCTAGCGCCGGGCGGCAGACCTTTTGCAGCATCACGTCCCGGCAAGAGAGAGGCATATGTGAGAATAATTCATACTCTAATTATAGGAATCATTTCTAGAGCCTTGGGATATTTAAGGCAATTTTGATGAAATCAAGCTTCACTCATTTGCACTCTAAAAGAACGGGGCTGGCTCGAGGAAAGAGAATGCCAGTGCTTCGTAGGGTCTTCCTTGGCTTTTTTGGTATCTCCATGAGCGGAATGAAGAGAAATCAGTGTAGCAAGGCATGGGCTAGTACGAGGGTTGTTGCGCATTGCGTTGCATGCAGAGGGTTCGAAAGCGTATTACTGAGTCCACGTACTGAGTCCACGAAGTGAGCAGTGCAACTTCTTGAAAGACAAAGTGGGGATATCCTCAAGTGTCGAGCAAGACCTTAATACGGCCAGAAAGTGTTGACTCACATCATAATTTCAGCATTTGTTGCAATGCCTCGATAAAAATGACTTGATGAGTGATCCTCAGGTTTGGGTAGCAAATATGTGGTGCTTCTCTATTCATCAAACCTAAGAGGAATAATCATTGACCAGCTGGTTAAGCAACACCTGGAGACCTCGAGCAATTATGAACCGGATTATCGGGGAAAACTCAATACTTGGATTAGCTAGCTAAGTACATTTAGGAGTCGAGGAGGACAGGATGATTCGGCCATTTGAGACTCGGGTCCCAATGACCACTCAATACGCCAAGGTGTATTTTGAGACTAGACCCAGTGAGCTATGCGGATAAGTGTATTGAGACACCATCGACCGATTTTCTCCCCTTGTAACGTCTCTTCAACCTGTCGGCATTCAAGCTTTTCGCACGAAAAGACCTGACGTTTCACTTTTGAAGATGTGAGTCTGCCCAAGACATGCCAGGCAGCATCCTGTGAGGCGATTCCAATAACACTTACCTTGGCAGACTGGTTGGATCACCACTATTGGTTCTTGGCTATGTGGTGTCACTCTGGAGACAGAGGGGCATCTGCAGGCTTCCACCTTTTCGACACTGCAAGGGAGCTGGAGGCAGAACTTCTCCCAAAGTAGGAGGCCACCTAAAAATTGCTTGGAAGGGCAGATTGTCTAGAAACAACAATAAGACAGACGCGCTACAATTCATGATTGTGCAGCTCTGACACAAACAATGCAGTGCCAGTGGCGATTGCAACATCGAGGCAAAGAATGACAACATCGAGGTTGATTGAATGATGCATGATGTTGGAACACAATACTATGCATACTTGAAATCTAATTAATGCCGCCTACTATGCACATTAGTTAGATTTAGATGAAGAACAAACATCGAAGGGAAACTCCCCTGCCCACGGATGTCGCCGCGGACGATCACTTCCCGTCCCAGCACATTGGCGAATAAGAAAGCCACGTGTGAAATCTTAAGCAACCGAGCCAAGGCAAACGTTTCTTTTCTCAAAGGAAATGAAGGGGATGGATCCTCCAAGCCCTACAAACCGGATCTGATCCGAGCTTATCTCTGTGATAAGCCAAGTTCATATCACAAATTTATGGTTGAAAGCTCGAGTGGCGGCGGAGACTGATGAGTCAAAATGTCTCTTGATCATTTACGAGGAATAAGCAACTCCAAGGCCGCCGCCAATGCGGGCGAAAACAGAGTTTTTCGGTAACTGCAAATCTATGAAGGGTATTTCGTTTTCTCATGTATGTACAAGGGTGTGCCAAACATCTCCTGGGTCACCCAATCAATCTCCACAATTTATTGCGCATGGCAAATAGAGCTTAGGCAAGCTTCTCGTTATCAGCATCGTGGGGAACCAAGCTGAGGTGCTGAAGGTCACCGCGAGCCTCCTTCTTGACCCACGCGGCATTGCGTCTCTTGAACATCATCTTGGGCAAGGCCTGGTTGAGGCAGACGTCGACCTTCATGCAGGTACCGCCAGAGCAGCAGCTCTGCTTGATGCAGACCTCGCCGTTGCTGCAGTCGTTGGTGGTGTCGCACGAGGGGCTGCAGTCGTTGGGCTGGGCGCAGACCTTGCGGCCCTCGACGGTCTGGAAGCAGACACAACCGGTCTCGCTGGAGCAGACGGGGATGACGCGGTCGCCGCAGTTCCAGGTGTTGCTGCACTCGAGAGCCGGGCGGGTGACGTTGACAAAGGGAGCGAGGGTAGTGGTGGAGACGAAGGTGACGGTCGAGGTGACGATGGGGGTCGGCGCGGTGGTCGTGGCCGCGGTAGCGCCGAAGCAAGAGCAAGCGGAGCTGTAGCGGCTTTGGTCGACGCAGGCGGAGGCGTAGGCCGGGATGGCCTTGGTGGCGGAAATGGGGGTCTCGGCAGCCTGGCGCTGGTAGATAGTCTTGGTAGAGTTGGCCGTGATGGTCTGGATGCTGCTCTCAGTGATGTAGACGGTGCTGTGGCAGGTTGGTTAGCTTTTCTGACTGGAGTAATACGACTTAAGGAAACTTACGATGTGGCCGGAATTTGGGTCACGGCAAGGAACGAGCTGCATTCTGCCATGCGAAGCTCCATGGTGGCCGTTCCGAAGCGAGTTGCCCGCACGGCGCGGAGGCAGTTATCGGCGTTGCAGCCATTTTGACGACCGGCAAGGTTGGCAACCTCGGGGAGGGCCGCAGCCGCGGCGGCGAAAGCAGCAACAATGTAGCACTTCATCTTGGAAAGAGTGAGTGAGTGTAGTGTTGTAGTGACTGTGAAACTCGTGGTCAAAAACGACAAGAGACCTGTGAGCAAGTGAAAGAATGAAGAATGAAGATGTTACTCTGTGTGCCTTGTCATCTCTCCATCTTTTGGAAATTGCGAGACCAACACATCTATCTTATATCTCTCCAATTGTCCTTGGCTCAAGCTCCCTTGTCGCGTGGTATGTCAACCTCAGGGAAGATAGAACACACTATGCAAGGG